TACAACTTGTGAAGAATCCACAAGTGATGGTGTTGTTGATATACACCAGGAAGGCATTACTACAAGAAAGATGCCACAGGGAGGAGGAATGCCAAGAATCAGACACAAGAAGTAAGAAGAAGAGCCAGTTGTAGGGGACAAGAGCAATTTGAAAGATGATAACAGTGATGCAAGAGGGGTGTTGAGCAGGGGAGCCAAAAGAACCGCATTACACCAGAAGGAGTTGAACCTCAGCTTAAGAAGGTCACCAGAGAACAGCCAACCATCTACAAGTACCCTAGTTCTGATTTACTTTTAATATTTCTGATGAGGGGGAGCCAGAGAGCTTCCAGATGTGCAATCTTGCAAAGATACGAGATTGCTGGAGAAAGGCAATACAAGAAGAGATGAATTCTTTGAAAAAAGAATGACAACGTATGAGCTGGTGAAACTTCCCAAAAAGGAAAGAAAACACTCAAGAACAAATGGTGTAAAACTGAAGAAGATGATGGCGAACCTAGTGAGACACAAAGCTCGATTGGTTCGTCAAAGGCTTTTACTCAAAAGAAAGGTATTTGACCTTTGATGAAATTTTTTTCACCAGTTGTGAAAAATGAGTTCTATTCGAGTTGTACTAGGTCTTGTAGCCAATTGAATCTTGAGTTACGAGCAAGCTTGAAAAAATGTAAAGTACCACATTCTTTGCATGGGGATCTAGAGGAAGAAATCTATATGGAACAACATAAGGTTTCAAGTCAAAGGAAAGAGGACATGGTTTTGTCGCTTGAAGAAGAGCTTTGTGATGGGTTTAAACAAGCACCGCGACAATGGTATAAAAAGTTGTGGAGATTTCTTTCATGGTTGAATCAAGATACAAAAGGACAGATGCAGATCCTTGTGTATCATGTTCAAAAATTACCCTGATGGTAATTTATCATCCTTCTCTTTATATGTTGATGATATGCTAATCGTTGGACCAGATGCCACATATGAATTAGCAAATTAAAAGAGTGATTGTCATAAAGCCATTTGACATGAAAGGATTTGGCATCGGCAAGGCAATTCCCTCGGAATGGAGACTTATTCGAGACAGAAAAGTCCTGCAGGTTATGGTTATCGCAGAGAATAATAAATTCGAACGAGTTCTAGAGAGGTTCATATGAAGAATGTTAAAACCAGTTAGCACTCCGCTTTGCTGCTCACTTTAAGTTGAGTAAGAAATCCTACCCCATCAACAGAGAAAAGAAAAAGGAGATATGTCAATGTTCCAATAACTTCCTTCAGCGGTCGGAAGTTTAATGTACCAAATGGTGTGTACAGAGACCAGATATCGCTCATGAGTTGGCGTTGTGGAGGCGATTTTCTGTCAACATCCCCAAAATCCCCAGAAGACACATTGGGAAGCAGTGAAGTGGATCTTCAGATACCTGAGAGGAACTTCAAAGTTATATTTAACTTTTGGAGGTGAAAAGTCTGTACTTGTTGGTTATACAGATGCAGATATGGCCGGTGATCTTGATGAAAGAAAATCTACGTCAGGATACTTATTTACATTCTCAGGGGGAGCTATTTCATGGCAGTCAAGATTGCAGAAATGTGTTTCATTATCAACCACTGAAGCAGAGTACATTGCAGCAACGGAAACAGGAAAGGAAATGCTTTGGTTAAAGAGATTCTTTCAAGAATTGGGTGTGCAGCAGGAAGAATATATAGTTTATTGTGATAGTAAGTAGTTAGACTTGAAGCAACAATACTATGTATATGCCGGACGAAGCACGATTGATTGTAAGATATCATTGGCTTAGACTTTGCATTGAAGAGAAGCAAGTTTCAGTTGCGAAGATCCACACAGATAGAAATGCTCAGATATAGTTGACAAAGGTTGTTCCGAGGAGAAGCTCAGCTAAGCAGCAGGAATGGAGAGTCCCACCATGTAGTCGGGAGGGGGAGAATTGTTGTGGGGTCCCTCCAATATGTGGGACCCACACACATTTGAAAAGAAAAATAAACGTGCCTATATTTTTTTTTTCAATGGACGATGCCAAAGAAAGAAAGAAAAAAAGGGAACAGTGGATGCGTGATTTAGAAAGAAAAAAAAGGAACAGTGGACGCGTGATTAACGCGTCCAACGCGTGATTTTCACTTCAAAGCGTACAAAAACAAAACATAAAAACAAAGATTATAATTTTAGGAAAGGGTTCCTAAAATTGGGAAAGAAAGAAAATAGTGAGGATTGTAATTTTTGGGTGTTTTGTTAAACACTTAGAGTACCACTATTTTTGTAATCTCTTTTGTACCTACTATTTTTAGTAGAAGAATTATTCGGAGTTTTTGTTCCGTGGACTGTTCCGGGACGTAGCCATAACAGTTGAAGGGTAACAGTAAATCGGTGTTCTTATTTCCATATGGCATTACGGTAATTAATTTAATTTGGCATTTACGGTAATTATTTAATTTTTTACCGTGATTATTATTTCTGGTGGATTCGATCGTCAATATTCAATATTTAATTATTGGAGTATATGTGGTAATAGTAATTTTATTTTACTTTTACTACCGGTATTTTTTTACGGGCCCCACTCGGGATCAGTTATAATCCAAACAGTCGCCGCCTTCACCATCCAAATCTTCACCCACAAACTTTGGTCCTTTGACCATAACCAAAATCAAAGACCCACAAACTTTGGTCCTTAGGCCATAACCAAAAGCAAAGAAAAACAAAGCCCAAAACTCAAAATCCTTTCTGCTAATCCTCCTATATGTAAATCCATTTTCAAAGGACATTTTAGCAAATTTCTATACTTTCTTGGCATCACCTGTAATATTGCTTTGATGCCGACAACTCCCCCAGCCGTCTAAGCTGGAAATCGGACTACCATTGTTATTAGAGAGAGAGATCCACTTGGTTTAAGCTCGGTGGCGTATAAGCAAGATGGTCGTGGTAGGCTTTTTGGATTTTTCCATTTGATCCCGATTGCTTTTAAAAATTTTGTTTGTTGGTGTTTGCAAATTCCTATACTTTCCATTCAATCCCGATTGCTTATAAGTGAGACAATTTGCTTTTAGGAATTTTGTTTCTCTTTATTTGTTGTTTAGACTTTTTGGATTTCTCCATTCAATCCCGATTTAGGTTTTATTTTTTGGGGTATTAGTGTTTGGATGATATTAAAGTGGGACAATGGTTCATTTTATCCCTTTTGACATAAAATTGTTAGTCCATATAAGTGGACACACAGGGATTTGTGGGTCTTAATCAGTTCCATTGGATATTTTAATTGTCCATATCGTTAGAAGACACCAAATTGAAAAAAAATATAAATTTAGAGATTCAATTATCATAAATTTTCGTTCAAACACCAAAATAGATAAAAATTACGAATATAGGCTACCAAAATTAACATTACTCCTTTATAAAATGATAAAAGCTAAATATTACATGACTTAACTTTTAAAAGATAATTTAAACGTCATGTTACGTTTAAATTAAAACGTTAAAAGCTATTTAAAAATATATTTTTTACTAATAATGGATAGGGTACCCATGACGAAACCTGTTTAATATTAGCGGTTAACAGGAGCGCAAACTGGCCGCCAATGAGGCTAACCATTGCAAGCTTTTTTAACTATCGTCAGCGGTAAAGTTTTAACGAAGAAAAAAGTGATTTTAGAGAAGATGAGGCATTTTGATTTTTGGTCCCTCATTGTTTTTTATTTTTCATTGGGTTTCAAAACCTTTTAATTTATTCAATTAGATTGTAAAATTAATTTTGATTGGATATATAAAAATCATTGTAATTATATCAAAGTCAATCAAAATCTCTAAAAAAAGTTATACCAATTTTACAAAACTCTATATAGAATTCTAATAGAAATCTATAGAAATCAAAGGAAATTCTTTAATTCCATCAAACTCAACTATCCTTTTAAAATCTAACACAATCATAACCCATCACACCCCTAAATTTTAATTTGTTTACAAAAAGATAAATCAACTTTGATTGAATGACAGAACAATGATGGTTAATACTAACCCTGAGCGAGATTGGTTCCAAAAAGTATAATGTCGGTCCAATGGACTTCCTTTCCACCAATCTTGACCACCTACCAAGAGCTTTTTCCATTCAACACGTAATGCAAGAGTTTGATTCATATTTGTAAATTTCTCTTTTGATTTATTATTGATAAAAGTAAAATCAAATAAAAAGATAATTCAGAAAATAGATAATGATAAACAGTGGGTTGTCCAACTCCGAGCGGAAAACACGATTATTTAAAAACTTAAAGAGTTAATTTAGTTAAAATATTAGGAGTAATTTGGTTCAGAAGATATTTCTACAAAATCGGTTTAATTTGATTTTTCATTTCCCATCAGTGAATATAAAAATTAATTCAACCAATTTGATTCGATTAAATTTAAAATTACATTTATACTACTTATTTTACAAATATTTAAATTTAATTAATTAAATTCAGTTAAAAATTTAATTTTAATTCACCCGATCGATCAAATATTCACCCTTAAAACCACTAATTACGTGCTCCTATAGCAATTTGGGGAAAAAAGAAACTATTAAAGGCAAATAAAAAAGAAAAAATATATCTATTTTCTCATTCTTATTGTTTGGTCATGTAAGAAGAAAAAAAGGAGCAAAAGGATTTTGAGTAATAAAATTATTAATTTAACTTTTATTTAAAAAATATGATAAATAAGGATAAAATTATAATAATAATTATTTTCCTTTAACTTGTTTTTCAAATAATAGAGGAAATAGCACATAATTTATTTTTCCTTCATATTTTTCTTCCTTTTATATTTTCTTCATTTTCAAACAAGCGAATGGAAAGAAAAATCTTTTTTTCTTTTCTCAATTTTCATTCCTCCCACACTTATTTACCAATAAAAAACAGAGCATAAGTGCATGTTTAATACACCAAATTGAATGAGAAATTGAATTTTTATTTCTCATAAATTTGTTCAGTAGCAAAAAAAATTGTGGAATTGGTAATGAAATGGGAAATGAGCAAGGAATTACCCTCTTCTGTGAATCTCAATTACATATGCTTAATTTTCTATAGACATACTTATGTTATTCTCTCCATCTATTTCAATAATTTTATTTTTTCCAATACTTATTACCGATACTTATGCAGGCTACAGTCAATGAAAACTGCGCATACAAGACTGAAAAAGCATCTTAGCAATATATATTTAAGCCACAAGAAAGCAATCAGATCAGAAATATTTTGCTTTTGTCACACAATGAACGTCCACCTCATAGCATAACTGAGCTAGAGTTTGAAGCCTTCCTCAACATGATAACTAATGCTCAACTAATCAAGCCCTCAAATTGGTCATGAATGTTGATCAATTTTAACTCACCTCTGGAGGTTGATTCGAGACCTTCGTTTCCTAAGGTGTGAGAAAAGAATGGAAAAAAGAAAAGATGTCAAAATTGCTCTTGGCTTAAATTCCACTCACCAATTATGCTATTATGGATGAGCTATTTGTTGAAACAGCAAACGTGAGAGCTTTACCTGCAAATGCACGGGTCAATTTGGCAATATTGTTTCTAATAGCATTTTTCGTTCCAAAAGCAAGGAAATTGACAATTGATTGTTGTAGGTAAAAATTTTATTTTAAAAATTTCACCTTTTTTTTTTTTTTTTTTTTTTTTTATTTTTAAAAAACTTTTTTTTTTTTTTTTTTTTTGAGTATTGGAAGATAAGGAATTTAAACATAAGTCTACTCCAAGTCCTGTATCCATTTAATGCCAGGCTATGCTTGCAATTTAAGCTTTTATAATAGCTATTAAACTAGATTGATCATATAACTAGATTATTTTTATAAATAGAGAAAAATATTCGGTACAACTTAAATATTTTGTAGTTTTAGCTAATAATTACACCTATGAGCAATAGTAATGCCAAACATGCTAGTATCTCTACAGCACGTCCATGAACACATGTGGGAACATTGAGAGAGTGAGGGAAAGAGAGATACCTTCTGAGGAAAATGAGTATGAGAAGGAAAATTAAGCTGGCACCTTTCCATGTTTTCCAGCAACTGAATTACAGTTCCCAAATGAGGTACACTGCAAAAAGTTGCACTTAATTAAAAAAAAAAAAAAAAAGAAAAAATAAATAGAAGTGTGTGCAAGGAATCCCAAGTTTGATCACAATTGATAGGTGCAGTGGCATTTTTTCTTTTATCTAATTCTTTTTCGTCTTACTATGGAAAATCTTGTCAAGCAATATAATGTGCCACATAGCCACCAAGAGTCATTATCATGTGATTGGTTAATATATGCCCAGTGCAGCTATATTAGTGTTATATGCATAAGACAACCAAACCTCAGTTTCTAACTAATCATAATTGGCTATAAAGATCCTTTTACTTCACTCATTTTTGTTCATGCAGTCTGGTTCATGGCATCACATTTCACAACTTATTTAGTAGATAAACATTGGCAAGTATGTAACTATAAAAGCTTACTGGTCCAGAAGTATTCGTAAAGCTACTAGACATTAAGGCTTTGCTGAGTTTTTACTGTTGTCTAGAGAAATCTTAGGTAGAGTCAATTTACCACACGGTCATGGCTATAGACTAACCTATAGAATTTTGCCACATCAAAATATAGCATGCTCATTGGTTCATTGATTTTTGGTTTTTGAAGAGATATGCATGCAGGTTGACTCAGCCAACTCCCAACTGTCCTCTAATACCTTTCATTTCACTATCCCCCAAATAAATAATTAAGATTTCTTTTCAAATAGAATATTATTATGTATTTTTCATTGGATTACTCTATCTTAAACATGTAGACTGTCCACCCAAGAATTCATCATGAAACAAGTATTTAATAACAAAAGCATTTTATTGCATGTTTGGCCCTTGTAATTTACATGCAGGCTATGAGTAAATAATCAATGGAATTATGAGTACAACCTCTCCAAGCCATTTTCCATATGTGCATCCAGGGATGAAATCACTTGAGGCATCTGCTCTAAAGCCTTCAATAAAATAACCAGAAAAGAAGAAAAAAAGAATAAAGACTAAATATAAGCAATGAGAAAAGTTAAGAGTCATGTAACTAAATTCCCTATTAAACTCAGTATTTGTGGAGAGGAACTACGTACTTGCCCAGTGTTCTTCATTGTGGAGGCTTTTGCTAGGAGGTTTTTTGGGAGCTTCATTAGTTGGGCCTGCAGAGGGCAAAAGTGATACAGGTTATGCATATATCCAATGATACACTGCTATCCCTCAGCAATAATTTATATCCTAAACACACCATCTTTGTTGATTGTAGATGAAATATAAAAAGAATACATAATGCATCATCCATGCTCATTAGAAGAAAATGAGTCAACACATTACAAAGCAGGACTGACAAAGGGTATGAAGAATAAGTCAATCCAACCCCAGCAAAGTTCATAGATTTGCTTCTTAAATAGTCTAGAAAGAAAATAATTTATTGCACATATCCAGATAGGAACACCAGTTTCCAAGACTTTATGACAGCCATAAAGAACACTATGATTAAATTAAGTAAAAGCAAATCTCATTGAGAAATAAATCCATAATTTTCAAGTAAAAGGGCTTCTATCGGTGCCTATGATAGGATAGGTTGCAGTCAATCCTCCATGTTCCTTAAATCCCCTATCCATGGTACCGTACAAAATTGTTACTGTATCTTTGCACAATGCAGGACAATCATGACAACAGAAAAATTCGCTGATTACAATATCAGTAGAATGTTGATATGTAACAATTTTCATTAATGAAGCCTCTGAAAAATCTAACTTAGCCAAAGAAAAGAGAGAAACATGAAACACTTCATCTCACACCAACTAAGATCCCAAGACAGAGTTAAGAGGACAAACGTTTGAATTAGAAAAAAGTTTTCTTCAAAAACAAAAGGGAAAAGGGAAAAGGAGGTATACTCTTTGCAACATCCATATACAACAATAAACCTCAGGAAAACAATGATAAATAAAAAAATCTTACAATGTAACTCGTATCTGTATCATTAGTGCTTCTCTACCGTTCCCTAGATTTGAAATCATCTTATTTAACAAGGAACAAATAGAACCATTAAGCAACATAATTCAGTACTGCAACATTTCATTCTCATAGTCAAGAAATTTTTAAACACCACTAATGTGAAGTTAACACAAGTTATAAACGAGAAATTAAATAAAGTTAATGTTCACAACTTAATATGTAGAGAGAGAGAGGTGCCTGAGAAGCAGAGGATTGTTGCATGAGGTTGAGGAGATTAGAGGTGGATTGCACGGCCTGAGAAATCTGATCAGCGACCATCGCTTTAGCCGTGTCTTCTCTGGTGCTGCGGCTTCTCGGTATCCCACTTCCGCTTCCGCTTCCACTTCCACCCGATGGTGATGAGGTAGCCATAGAAATTAGGCAATTTGACTATCGACCTTCTTGATTGTTTTAACTTATTAGGATCTGATCCTGAGCCAAAAGTTTGATTCAATCAAAAAATATTGCACTGAGATCAACTCACCCACCATGGGCAAAAAGCAAGCAACACAGCGGCAACTTACAAGAGTTGGGAATATCAGGGACGGCAGCGGGGCGGGTACCCGCCAGAAATAAACTACCGACCCCAAATCCAGTATCATTTTAAGTACTTGAATCTCTTAAGGAATAAATTAATAATATCTAGATCCGTCCCAAATCAATTTAGAATTACTTACATACCACCTTAACTCGTTTAAATAATCATTTAATTATAAATTTATTCAATTTAGAAAACTCAAATTCGCATGGAATCTAAATCTGAACCCGAACCCGAAGTGCAACAAAAAAAAATATATAAAAAATGCATTAAAATTCAACTTCAAAATAATAAAACAATTTAACATGTAATATTCTTTTCGAGAAGGTAAAGTTGCAATTTCATTTAGTGCTTAAAACATTGTCTGCTGTTACAAAATCTAAGATAGATCGTGTATAATTGTCACGACCTGTTTCCATGGGCTGGACAGGCACTAGAACTTAGGTAAGCTTAAGACTCCCAAGGCTCGTAGTAAGTCTGAACCACTAAAATACAACCATATCAAATGAATCTCATAATTATATTATACTTTGGCCCAAATCTAACATTTTAAATATTTCATAGTTCAGGCCCAATACAAAACATCTTTAATGTCGGCTAATAATCTCATGCATTCATATAAATAAATGACTAAACTTCCTCATGAGTTTATCGGTTACAATCTTACAACTGCGGAATTCACTAACAGATAAGTATCAATAAGTTTTAGTACATATAGCTATATAATTAAATAACTACTAATTCTAAAAGTTAATTTTCTAGTTCTGCGGGAAAGGAGACAGAGCTCTAACCAGGCAGAAAAATCTACTTCCTGGAAGAATTTAAACAAAAGAAATTTGAGGTTAACAATGAATAATAATTAATGTATAACACAAGCATTAACACAAAATGTTTCCTGAAGTACTAAAATGAGCACTCATCCAATCAAACAAATGTCACATCATCACCACCCACAAATAATCACACCTTCAAGTAATTAAACATGTGGAGATTGGTCAGTGGCGTCACCAGAACCCTCGATGAGCCATCCTCACACATGACCCATCCTCTCATGACGTGTGCACCAAGGAGCCGATCCCCCATACTTAGCCGACCAGTCTAATCCTCACTTGACCAGCCCTCTCATTTCATTTCATTCATTCATTATATACTCTCTTTTCTTTTCCATACCATCAGGAGATCATCATGTGGTTTTCCATATAAACCATATCATCAGGTGCACACGGGGGAGCCAATCTCTCCATACATGGTCGACTGTCGAATTCCATATTTTCATCATTTTCAGAACCGTCCTCGCAAACCCATGGTGACCCACTTTATCCCAATTCCATACGAAAAAGGCATAGCAATGTAACAACACAAATAATCAAACATCAATTAATTAAACCCTATCATGCAAGAGTGCAAATGTACATTCACATACCAATTCAAACAAATATAAGAGTATTAAATAATAATATAATATAATGTTACTTGAGAAATAAATAAATAAATAAATAATAAAAATAAATAATTGAAGACAAAGCTCTATATAGTAATGATTTATGTATGATGCAAGTGGTAATGCACCATCTATTATTATTTTCTATACTAGAAGGGAAAAGACTCAAATTTCGATTCTAACTTATCGAATCAGTGAACCAACTAGAACGATCTAAACGAACTAGAAATTCAAAGGGGAGAAAAGAATAGAATTGAATTAAGTACTCTATCTTAAATATATCAGGCTAAAGAATTATTCTAAATATGCCTATTAACTTAACCATTAAAATATATCTAGCGTAGATTCTAGCGAAATTTCAGCAGAACCTCCCCTAAATTTGGATTAAACCACCTGCTTAAGACTATAATTCAACAATAGATTCTCAAAGCCCATCCATCAGGCAATTCACAACAACTAATCCCGTCCACCATAACCATTTTTCATTCATCTAAACATTTACTCAATTCACACTACCCATCTGTCGGGCAATCAATTAAATCAACCAAAGGGGATTATGATCATATAAGTTAGTATATAGTAGTTAAATGATCCATTAACAAGCTAAAAACTTCCTTCACAATTAAATTCATACAACTAAATAATTAATTAAAATTATTAAAATTCAATAAGTTCCTTCAACCTAAATAATTAATTCAAACCAATATCTCAATTAAACAATTTAACAATCAAATAACTATTAAAATTCAATAAGAAAATTACAATAACAAACTAAAAATCAATTAAAATATAATAATACTAAACTACAACAAATTATCATAGCCTAATTCTTTGACTGGACTCTATTTCCCTCCACACTTCCAGTCAGCTCCCTTCAATTATTTTCTCCTCAAGCTATTATGAAGCACAAAGAAAAATATAAATTTTTGCATATAAGTATGGTTGAAGTTGCAATTAAACCCTTATTTCGAGTTGGTTTGGATATTCCTGTTTTTGCATGTTTACGAGATGCAAGACATTTGAATTTTTCAAATTCTCCTTTAGCTATGATTGAATCTAATTTAGCTAATGCTCGTATCTATTTTAATTGTTATCCAAACTTTTCTTTTATCTTTATGATCCAAATATTTTAGATGCTTTAACTTTCACAATTAAATCAAAAAATATGAATTTTTCAGATAATACTAGATCTATAGTAATTATATATAGAATTTACTACAAAGTTATGACAACTACCCTAGAAGATACAAAACAAAGATGAATCTGACACAGATATTAGTCAATTAAAAGAATAATTAAGTGAAAATTTTATTGTTCAAAAGATTCATAATGCACAATTACCCAAAACTAGAAATTTTTACCCTAGGGCACATCCAGATATACAATATGAAGATAGATCTGCCATGACTCAGGCTAAATATGATAGAGAATCAATTAATGAATGGAATATAGATGGATTATCAGAATACCAAATAATAAATATGTTACAGGAAATGATTATGTCTTCATCAGCCCATAAGTCTAAAGGTAACACTGATCCAACTATAGCTCATATATTAATCTCAGGATTTACTGGTCAATTAAAAGGATGGTGGTATAACTATATTTCTTTAGAAGAAAGACAGAAAATATTAAATGCTACTAAAATTATAATTAAACAAGAAGGTCAACAACAAATACATACAACTGTACAAGATGCAGTTAATACATTAATTTTTGCAATTACTAAAACCTTTATAGGTGAACACTGGAAGAATATTAAGCTAGGGCCTCTGAATTATTAACTAATTTGACTTGTCCAAAGTTACAAGATTTTAGGTGGTATAAGGATGTATTTCGTACAAAGGTATTTACTAGGCAAGATTGTAGTCATGCCTTTTGGAAAAAAAAGATTTATCGATGGATTACCTAAGTTATTTACTGAAAAGGTACGCTAGAGAATACGAGGATTATATGGTGGATTTATACCTTATGATACCCTCACATATGGAGAAATTATTAATCATGTTTAATAATGAAGGTTTAGCTTTATATACGAATCTTAAGTTAAAGGCAAAAATGAAGAGTGAGTTCCATCAAAATAGAAAAAAATTAGGAAGTTTCTGCAGTCAGTATGGATATGAAAGGTTACATCCTCCTTTTGCTAGAAATAAGAGGAAACATAAGAAAAATCCCTATAGGAAACCTTTTAGAACCATGACTTTCCGAGACAAAACTCTTAAGGATAATAAACCCCTTCAAATAGCTAAGAAGAAAACAGTTAAAAGAAAAGGTAAAAGACAACAGTGTGTTACAAGTGTGGAAAGGTAGGACAAAGTCGCAGTGCAAGATGAGAGAAAAAATAAATAACTAGATATATCGGAAAAGTTAAAGCAGCAAATGATGAGTTTGCTTCTCACCGATATAGACACAGATTTAGAAATAAGTGATAACCCTGAAGATTTATATAAAATAGAATCTAGTTGTTCAAAAGATAGTTCAAGTGATAGAGATAACTGTGAATGCGATGGTCCCTATATTTGTAAGATAAATAGTATAAACATAATTACTAGAGAAACATATTTTCTTTTAGACTGTATAGATGAGATTGAAGATAAGGACGTTAAAAGGCAATATTTGTTAAAACTAAAGGATGTGATATCACACAAAGACGAAAAACAATAAGAGCCATATGAGTTAAAAGAAATATTTAATAGGTTCAATAGCAATAAAGAGAAACTTTCTCCTTGTTTAGCCGACCTACAAGGAGAAATTAAAATAGTTAAAAAAGAGATAGAAAAATTAAAGCAATAACATAATAAAATAAACAAGACATTATTCAATTACAAGTTAATAAAATTATAGATATTCAAGTAGAACCCTCAGAAAGTAAGAAAATAAATAATTTAGCTGAAATATTGTCTTATCATGAGTTTATTAATGAAATATCTAGCGTAAGCTTTCAGAAATGGATAGTTTTAGTTAAAATAGTAGTTAATAATAATTTTCATTTAACTACGACTGCATTAGTTGACTCTGGTGCAGATCAAAACTGTTTACAAGAAGGATTAATAAAAAACTAAAGAAAGGCTATATACAGCTGATGGTAGTAAGTTAAGAGTAAAATATAATTAACAAAAGTAAAAATATGTGCTGATGGTTTTTGTTTTAAAACGCCCTTTATTTTAGTTAAAAATCTCACTACAAGAGTAATACTAGGAACACCCTTTTTAGCTACTATCTATCCCTTTAAAGTAGATAATGAAGGATTAAAAACAAATATCTTAAATAATCAAATATGTTTTAAATTTATGCAACCAATTAAATAAAAGGATTTAAGTGCTATACATGATATTTCTATATATAAAGAAATAAACCTTATTGAACAAAAACAGAAACATATTAGTTATTTGAAACAAGAGATTAATAACATTAGAATTGAAAATCAATTACAACAAACTCACATACAACAAAAAAATTAAAGACTTTGAAGAACTTTTGAATAAAGAAGTATGTTCAAATATTCCGAATGCCTTTTGGTCTAGAAAGCAACATATAGTTCATTTACTTTATATAAAAGATTTTGATGAAAAAAATGTTCCAACTAAATCTAGAGCTATACAAATGAATAAACAATTACAAGAATATTGCTACAAAGAGATAAATGATTTATAGATAAAG